GCCCTCCATTTTTATTTACTCCGCATATTAGATTTGACTGAAGTCAAACTTTGTAATACTCTCAAACCTTTCCGATAATTGAAATTAAAATTCTTTATTTGTACACACTCTCACACGTTTCTGATAATTTGGCGCATGTGTGGTTGTTCACTTAAGGGAGGGTAGTGTACCACACCTGAAGGACATGAAGTGCGACAGGGACGCGTGGATCGTTAGTTCATCGGAAGTAGTAGTAGTTTTCTTCACTGTATGTTAAATAACGAGTTTCATTTCGTACTTACACAATTTAAAACGATTGTTATGGAGAGAGTAAGAAAACCACTCCACTATATTAGTCATATACACGAGAGTACTATATGGACGCAACTTCATTGACTTAGTGCACTTGCCTTTGGGTTTATGATAGGTGGGCCCAAAATGTGGCTGGCTCACCTGTCATACAGCCAAAAGTAGGTGCAGTGAAGGCACCGGAGCTCAGTCCGTACTACAGTAGTATATATGTAAACTGGAGCCTCAGCGCTTGTTCACTAGGGTTTGCACTCTCCACACTCTCACCACACTACATATATATATACACGTTGGAGGCTCAGCGTTCATTTGCTAGGGTTTGCTATATTCAATGTCCCTCTTCACCAGATCTAAACAAGATTGCGTTAGCCTCTTGTCTCTCTCTCACTCCTCACAGCTGGTAAAGGAGGCGTTTGTATCCCGTCGCACCGAGAAGGGGAGGAGGTGCAGTGTTCACTCTATCGCCTTCGGCGAGGGAGGCAATCCACTGCTGGCTGCACTGTTCTCTTTCATCCAGCGCCTGTGCAGGAGGGCCACCGACCCCTTCTTCCTCGCTGTCGTGCGTAGTGTGGGCAGATCTGGCCTCCCACCGCACGCCTTGCCACATCCCGACGACCCTAAGGTATAAGTTTCTTTGAAACCGTCGTTGCTCTAGCTGCATGTGGATCTTTTTCGATCTGTAGTCGAATCTAGGTCTTGGTTCAAAGAGGAAAAAAGGGTGTGGTGGGCTGGAGCAAGAATCTAGGACGTGGTTCAATGAGGAAAGGAGGGACAGAAGGTAGTATAGACTGGCAATCCAGCCGCTTTGTTGGTCAAAAAGGGAAAAAGTGGGTAACCCAGTACACACATCTGTAAGGAACCAATCTCTTTGTTGAAAAGGGAAAGAAACTGGGGGGTCAGGTAGTTTGTGCAGGACTAGATTTGCTGCCCTCACATAGGAAAAAGGTTCAAAGAGAACAAATATGGGCCAACGCATATATGCTGCTCTGCTACATACTCTGCATCACCCATTTATACGTGTGGACGCACATGGTGCTGGCATGTCCCATACAGCTATTTTGTTGTTGTTAATCTAAGAATGCCGTCGGAAAATTGAAGCAATGCCACTGTTAAAAGTAAATTACATTTTTAACGAATGTTCTTTTAAGAGAATGTCTCTGTTAATATGAATCAATGCAACCGTTTTAGAAATGCTCTATCCTACTTTGTTTTCCATCCAAGATAAGTTAGATGCTTCTTTCTGTCACCGTCTGTTTCATCCTCCTATATCGGCTAGTAATTGATTCCTTTTTTGCCTTTGTTTAAAGAGGGATATCTATTCAACTTGTTGCTATTGCGACATTTTGCTTCGCTACGCAAAACACGTTGCTTGATTTCAGTGCAACTGCACAAAATGAGATTGGCTTTCCTATTCATGTTGGCAGATTCGTACATTATCTTGTGAGCGTCATGACAGGTTGGTACTTGCCTTCATCCACATGATAGTGCAGTGTGTTTTGAGATAATGTGCTACTTGTATTGGTACTATTTTAAATAAATTTAGAATTGGAGCTATTGTATTGCTCTCTTTTCCCATTAAGTAGTGAACAAAAATGGTACCAACCCAGACATGATGCTTGTTGCTTTGTTACAACAAACTTTGCATCACCCCGTTTATAAGTAGATGGAAGCACATGGTGTTGTTGCACCACTCTCCCCTGGAACTATTTATGCTTTTTGTTAATCTAATGCCACTGGTAAAATTAAGCAATGCCACTCTCAGAATTAACTAATGAATCTTATTTCAAAACTGCAACACTTGTTAGGGATTGGCAGGATTACCATTTTTTGTGGCCGCATGTTTCATCCTCCTTTATTAGCCAGTAATTGATTCCTTTTTTGCCTCTCTTTAAATAGGGATATCTATTCAACTTGTTGCTATTGTGAAATTTTGCTTCGCTACGCGAAACACTTATGTTTTAAGAGTGTTTTCTGTAGTTCAACTTGAATGTCACACTGGCGACTTTGCTTAATTTTGGTGGAACTGCACAAAAGGAGATCGGATTTTCATATACGTGTTGGGATTTCATTCAAATCCTCCTCGCGAGTTGTTTCAAATCTTGGTCAAGAAAGGTCAGTACCGACTTTCATCCACATGATGATGCAGTGTGCTTTGAGATGTTGTGCTACTTGTATTGGAACTGTTTTGGATAAATGTTGAATTGAAGCTATTGAACTGTTGTCTTTTACCATTACGTGAGCAAAAATTGTTCCAACCCAGATATGATGCTTGTTTCTTTGTTACAACAAAACTCTGCATCACCCCCTTTATAAGTAGATGGAAGCACATGTTGTTGTTGCGCCCACTCTCCCCTGGAACTGTTTATGCTTTTTGTTAATCTAATGCCGCTGGTAAAATTAAGCAATGCCACTCTCAGAATTAATTAACTACTGAATCTTAGTTCAAAACTGCAACACTTGTTAGGAATGGTACTATGCTGCTTTGTAGTTCTTTCTACATGTTTAACCAAGATATTGTTAAGATAATGTCTCTGTTAAAATGAATCAGTTGCATTGTTTTAGGAATGGTACTTTTCTGCTTTGTCGTTCTTTATACATGTTGAAACAAGGCATTGTTAAGATAATGTCTCAGTCAATATGAATGAATCACACTGATGGAGAATTGCTACTCTCCTGCTTTGTTTCCCATTAAGATAAGGTAGAACAGTAGATGCTTTTCTTCTGGGAGTACAAGTCATCAACCGTTATTTCTCAGTAATTGTTTCCCTTATACCTATTGTTGCTTATGGGGATATCAAAATTAAAGCTCGGTTTTATTCCGACTTCGATTTTAGTTGAACTACACAAAAGGAGCCAATGTGTCCAAGGCAAACTGCTGCATTACTGGGTCCAGTTGGTCGTTCCACTTTGCAGAAAGAAGCAGACACTGTTTGCGCTACATTACAGAAGGAATGACCGAGAAGCTTTACAGAGTATTATTAGACGTTGGTGACATGACTAGTCTGCAGAGAGCAGTGGCAATTCTACAACACGTGGAGTGCACTGGGCAAAAAGTGCCCAAACAAGTACAAGAAGCTACGACAGGACTCCACGATCATAGGCATTACATATTTTGAATGGAAAAAGCTTGTCAAAGTTTAATCATTGATGTTAGCAAGAAGATGTTAGTTTAATATATTTGAATTGGAAAACATTGTCAAAATTTGCTCATTGATGTTAGCCAGAAGACATGCATTTGATATTTTTGAGTGGGACGCCCTTGCTGTGAGCAGCGTCGATTGTTTTTTCCTATTCCTGTGTTCAGTTTAAAAGTAAATAGTTAATCTGCTGAGATATTCCTGTGTTAAGAGTTTGTTCTGAATATTGTCTATGTAATGCCAGGCCTTGTGTTTGATTGCAAAGTTGAGCTTGGAATGTTGTGGCATGCGGCATCACGAGCTGTTCACCATGCCTCCTGAGAATAATGCTTCATATTGTTTTGCATGTCGATCTAATGCCAGTGATTTTCTTGTTAAGAAGATCATCCTCTTTTGTTGTTTCCGTGCTTAAGAAGTTCATCGTCTTATGCTTCATTCATAGCCGACACTGCAAGCTCGGCTGATGCTACTATCATCAATGCTAGGAATATATAAATAGAGAGTGACCACATGCATATTTTGTGCTGCAGCCTGGCTAGCTACTTGCATATCTGCATATATCCATCTAGCTAGGAAATACGGTTCTGACACCCTGTCTAATGTATCCACTAACGGATCTCCACGTGCTCCCCATTTTTTATCCTTTTACAGCATTTGCCAAAATATACATCATTTTTTCTTGAAGAGATTTACAAATTCGATCATCTGTTGTGCAAATTTGGTAAACCATGAAACTTGCACATACGGCTTCGATATCTTATATTAATGGGTGATTCAAATCTGCACCGGCCTTGTGTTGAGACAAGAAATGTATGGCCTAACTAGCTAGCAACCCAAGGACTATCACTACAGGAAAGGTAGCATTACAATAATCACCATTATTTTAATAAAGCTCATTAACTGAATACAACATTAGGAATATAACAACAGTCTAAGATGCCCGCAAAATCAGAATAAGGATAAGTCAATCCTGCAACATTTTGAAACCTCTAGTTACATCCTATAAGTTGATTTATGTTGAACTAAAATGTTCAGGAAGAAAGAACTAGGAACATGGAGACACCATTTCTTGTGGTGGGAAGCAGTACAAAAGTAAGATGTACCACAGATTATGTATAGAAACCTAAGCTGATTGAAAATCATAATGGTGAAAATGGGCTAAAGATTCAATTGCGCTAGCATAGATCTGATACACAAAATGTAGGCTTACTAAGCGTAGTCAACCAATTGAGATCTGGATGGATCTTCAGAGTTCAGATGACCTCGCCAAGGGGGCTTCGATTCAAACGAGAGGACAAGATAAGAGATCCATCCGATTCAAATGGTTTGTTGTGGCAACGGTGGCTCGTGGGATTTTGCAAAATTTTGGGTTATAAATAAAGGGAATTTGGCAACGATGGAAACCCTAGGTTATGAAGGGGATTTGGACAAGGAGAAGAAAGGAAAGTACGAACTACATGCTTATCTTTTCCTTATAATCTGATAGTTAGCCTCAGCAAGAAACACAAAATCATTCTGAATATTGAGGTTTGATAACGACAGGATAGAATGGGTCTTTCTCCATCATCAATAACACTAGATCAAAACGTATTGGGGCGAATTAACACTCGCGCATGTGCGAGGTTTTGGTGTGATGACGCAGGGGGTGATCTCCAGCATGACCTTGTAGACGTGCAGCTTGATGTTGTATTCTTGGTCCAGGAGCTCAAAGATGCACACGTCCCACTTCTCCAGGTTGTTCTCCATGGCCAGCGCGCCCCACCCTACGCTGAATGCCGCATGGGGACTAGCGTACTCGTACCACACCTTCCACGGCTTCGCCTGTGGGTCCCACAAGGTCATCTTCCTGCTCTCTTTGGGGAGAAATGTTTTCACGAACTTGTCCGGGATGATCTGCAGTTGCAGGTTGATCATGACCAGTCAGTGAGCAATGCATTTTTTAATATGTGTATTGAAAGGAGAAATTTAATTGATAATTACCATGAAGTACAAGGCATAGACATCGTTGTGCCTCATTGCCTTGATGGTGAAGGGCCTGTCGGATTTGAACCTCAGTGCCCTCTCCATGGCGTATTCCTTCTCCCTTTGAGTTACTAGACGCCTCTGTGACATTAATCCTGGCCTTCTCATAACTTTGATGAGAACTAGTATAAAAAGATGTAGACTATCAGGATAGTTCACTTCAAGTTTGTTCTAATTAGTACTAGCAGTATAATAAAAGGGCGCGCATACAAGAAGTAAGGAAGGAAGGAAGGTAGTAAGGAAGTAAGAAAGAGATTTACTTTTGCCAGGTTGGTTTTCACCATTGCTCTTGTTGAACATCGGGAATTGATTCTGCTTACTAAGCCTTTTATCAAAAGATTTGTTCCACGTGGTTATGTTCGAGGACACGGATTCTGGCGCAAATACACCTGTATGAACTATATGTGGGTAAAGTTCATTAGCTCCATGACAAGAGAATATAGATAGGAACCATTTACAGTATAAGACTAGTGCTATGTAGCTAGCAGAGCATATTGATAGCTCGATGACGCAACATCTAAGACATCTCAACCAATATATGTGTGTGTGTGTAAAAAAAAGTACTACTCATTTTGAAATTGATATGTTACCTGCCAAATTGTCACTAGATGTTGTTTCTTCCAAAGCTTTTTTGAGAGGAACTCTTTTAGATGCTGAAGCAGCAGACCTGGTATAAACAATTAAAGGAGTAGCAGAGCTTTTTCCCTCATCCTTGGAGTCCTTTGATGGACGACTAGCCAACTCTGCTTACAATGGATGTGCACATAGGTTAGCTAGATAACAAGAGTCTATGAATCATGTGACAACATTTAGCCATCACAATATATAGTTAATTTGAAATTGATCCATTCAATGGTCATTCTGAATTACCTGCCAAATTGTCACTTGATGCTGCTGACATAGAAGCAGAACCACCAGATGGAGACCTTATCTCCTCAGCCTTGGACATAATGGGTGGATGATGCTCAGATTCTTCTTACAGTTTGATGTGCACATAGCGAAGGTTAGCTCGATAACAAGAGTATACGAATCATTTTACAAAATCAATCCATCTCATACCAATATATACGTAAAAAGTACTACACGTACTAATTATTTTTAAATCGATCAACTGATTAAAGGGCTCTTCTTAATTACCTGCCAAACTGTCGCTTGACGCTGCTCCCCCAGAAGTTGGTTCACCAGATGGAGCTGTAGAGTTTTTCCACTCCGCAGTCCTGGACTTCTTGGATTGGTCCACTTGTGCCATGATATCATCAACCTTCCTAAACCTAGCCCTCTTCCTAACCATAAAACCATCGCCGGTCTTGCATCGATCATCCTGTTGTTGTTGCGCTGGTTCTAGAGCATCGTTGCTCCACATGCGACGTTCACAGTCTTCATCATTCCCTAGAGTTTCTGATAATGTGTCTTCAACATCATGTGCATCTTCATCTTCTAAAGAATTTTCTTCTTCTTCTGAAGATTCATTTTGTAGTGTACCATCTATACCGGTGTCAGTGTGAGTGTCTTCTTCTTGCGGGGCAGTACCATCTGCATTGGTGCTCGTGAGCCCTTTGTCTTCATCACTGGCCACGTTGATGTCCTTGTGTTGCGGCTGGGCGAGAGACGCGTACGGAGCCTCGCAGGACGATGGCAAGAAAATTGTCACTGAGAACTGTGACTGCCCGTCGTAACGGAATACCAGCAGGTAGCCATACCCGACGCGATGGTCGGAGAGGAACTCCTTCCATCCACGTGCAAAGCATAGCTCCCCGGAGATTTTAGCCAGCTCTACAGGCCATTTATTCCCGCTTGGACCTCTCAGGGAAACCAATGATGTACAATCTTCCAAGTTTTTGTGGAATCCTACTGGAATGGTCTGGAACATATGTAGTCATACAAATTAATTTGTAATGGCTCAAGACATGTCGAGCACAACCCAAACATGCATTATATGGCATTTAACCTTTCCTTATAGTCCAATCCCAGCTATCAGTCACTGCTCAATTGGCATTATATTTTGTAGAAATATTAGATATGTCTCTTTTATTTACAATCTACATTTTTTGTAAATACAAAAAATATCAACTTTCATGAAGTAGTTTATATTTTGGATATGTTATCTCTTTTATCCTTCTCAATGGTAGAAAAATTGTATAGTCCATGTTTCAAACATATCATTCATAAATTGAACAAAAGAATATGTTGGGTGAAATAGATTATATATGTAAAATTTTAACTCTACCAAATTAGAGAGCATCATTCCTAAAAGTGAACCACAATGGAAAAAGATAACCTTCACAACAATCATGCAAAAATACGATAGGTAAAAATGGAACAACTAAAATGAGTTAGTCCCTTTCTTAGTTGTTATGAATCAAGAAAACCTACCACATGTTCCATAAATGAATAGGATATGATCGCTCTAAAGAAGTGGGGGCAATTTTTATTGCCATTCTGGTCCTTCTCATCCCTTTCCATCGAATCATACTCCTCTTTACCATTCTCCTTCCTTCCCCTCTGCTCATTTATCTCCTTTTGTTCCTCTTCTTTCTCTTTCTCAATTTCTTTTTGCCCCTGCTCTTCTTTCTCATTCTCCTCCTTTTTTTTCCTTATGTGAGTTCTCCTTCTTCCCATTTTCCTTTCTTTTCCTCCAATCCTCCCTCTCCTCCTCACCATCCTTCTGATCAGCAACTCTCATTTTCTTCTCTTTGACCTCCTTGTTGTTAGCTATCTTCCTCTTCGATAAATTTTGCTTTCCCTCTACTTTCTTATCACCTTCAGCTTCATTTTGCTTCATTTTCTCTTTTGTGATAATATTGTCATCTTTCTCTTCTTTTACCTTGACCTTATTATCTACCATGCTGATTGGACCTACTGATGGCAGGTAATTCTCTGTCTGCAATACAATAGGAGATATATGGTACATTAGCATAATACTTCCGTAATGGTAACAATGGCATATAATACCACTCAAGTTCCACTCGAGGGTTGAATCTACATATGAAACGCTTTCCTACTTTGGGTTTTTGTTCTGACTATTCAATGATTATTCCAAACTACTTAGTTATTTTCAAGAACACTCCTATAGAGTCCTTTTCTTACAAATTTTAACAGCCAACATAAATATAATTTCCATATAAGCTCTTTAGGGAATAAAATAGAACACTATTTATCCCATATTAATATTCAAATATTCACACAAGTACACATCATACATGAATGCTCGGATTATATATAGAGTGGCCACATGGAAATATTCTGGCGAGCCACACTTGCACATTTCTATATATTCATTTAACAAGGCAATCCGATTTTGATACCTTATCCGATATATCCACTACTAGACCTTCATGTGCTCCCCATGTTTATCCTTCTAGAGAACTTGCCAAACAAACATAATTTTGTTTTGATGAGATTTACAAATTTGATGATTCCATTATGAAATATTAGTAAACCAAGAAGCATGCACATATTGCGTGTATTACCATCCTTGTGTTGAGACAAGAAAGGTATGGCCTAACTAGAAACCCAGCGGTTCTCACAAGAGAAAAGGAATGTAGAATTATACTAATCCGAAATGTTTTAATAAAACTAAATACAAGTTTACAAATATAAAACAATATTTCCCCTAGTGGGATTCTTTCTTCCATATATATAGGGCATTAGATCATTCTTCCAACATGGACAAACTTCCAATGCGAGGATGACAATGCCAACAAAATTATTCAGTGTTTCACAAGAATCTATAACACCTCCCCTGTCTAAAAGTGAGAAGAAGGATACATCAATCTTGTAAAGAAAACCTCTAATTATATCCCACATGAATCTATGCTCAAGTAAAGCATTTAGAAACCATGAACATGGATACGACCGTCCTTGTGTTGGGAAGAACAAAAGCATGATGCACACTGGATTTAAAGAATAATAAGGCGAGACGTAATCATAAAAATGAGTCAAAGATCTAAATGCGCTAACATAGATCAGAAATACCGTAGGGCTTACCAAGCGTCGCGAATCAATTGACTCAATGGAGAAGTCGAGAGAAGAGACTGCTTTGATTTAGATAAAGGAGAGCATGGTTGGTGGTGGCGGCGGCGGTGGGTCGATGGACATTGCGAGATTTTGGGGTTATAAAGGGGGGTTGGAAGGGGGAAAACCCTAGGTTTCGAAAGGGGTGGGCCTTGGGAGAACAAAGGAATGTCCATGCTTATTTTTTCTAGGCCCATCATCATCAGTTGAACAATATAAATCTTGATAGGCCCAATTCTAGGCCCACCAGTTTTCCTTCCACGTATCAATTGTAATACTTCTACTGAAGGTCTATTTTAGGCCCATTTGTTGAGGTGTCCCGTAGAGGGACAATCTATAGAATTTTTTATTCAAAATCAGAAGGCCAAATAAGTTGATTTACGTTCGTCTAGTATATATTTTTAGTTTTAACTATTGGTTGCTAAAGTACTTGTATTTTAAAGAGAAATCTTATTTTTATGATATTCAACAAAATAAGTTTGGATATGGGACCGTGTTCTCCAATAGAAACTACAGATCATCGATCAAACCAATAGACTTTTTTGTATTTACCCACCCGATTTTTTATTCATGTGTAAACAAGGAGATCGATGAGAGTTCTTTTTTCATATAATCAATATCATGACATTATGATGCACCGTACAATACACTTGTTTGTGAAAATGTTTTCCTATATAGTGTTGTCGAAAGGTTTCCTTGGTAATGATATTATCTCTTTCAAAACAAAATAAGACAAATCTTATAGATACTGATGGCTTGTGTCGGGGGGATGTACCCCAGGTAGCCTCATCCGCACACAATAACATTTCAAGACATCGGGGCTAGCAAAGCCCCTCATGCTACTAGCCACACGGCCGGCTTCCAGAAGACGGCGCACTCTTAGGGCGTGTTCGGTAGTCCACCAACTCCTGACTCCTTGAACTCCAGGTTGGGAGCTGAGTGGCACCGTTGCCGGGGAGGCTAGGTAAGTGAAGGTATATCTTTAGATCTTGCAATCGAATCTTTTTGTTTCTTGCTTTAGCACTAGTTTATTTTATAAAAGAAAACTACAAAAAAATGGAGTTGAGTTTGTCTCATACGCTTCACCTTTTTAATATCTTTCGTGAGTATGATGGAAAGGAAAATTGTGCTCAAGTGCTAGAAGAAGAAATCTCTAAAATGTTTGGCACTAAATATGTGAATGATGAGCATGATTGCAATGTTGTTAGTACGAATTCTTTGAATATCCATGATGCTAATGATGATTGCACTAGTTATGATGAAAATATCTCTTATGAGAATGTCAAATTTTGTGGAGTGCATGTTTGCATGAACACACCAAATATAGAAGATATTTATTGCAAGAGGCATAAGTACTTAGAAACCAAATTGTTGCAAGAAGAGCTAGATCAATGTGCTGAAAGATTTAATATTTTTTGCGCTCCTTGTGAACTTTGCAATGAACATGGTCATTTAAAGCTCCAATGCTATTTGTTTCATGATCAAGTCGTGTCCAAATATTGTGATAATTTGATTACCTTTGAGCATTATAAAGAGCTTAGCCTTCTTTTGGGGTATGAAGAAATGAAACGAATAAGTGAGGGTATTCCAGAATTTGCCCTTGATAGAATTCTTCATTTTGATCTAGAGAAGATTTATATGTATTGTGCGGAGAATTGCATTGAAAATCCTTATATTGCCAATTACATAAAGAAAAGAAAGCAAATAGAAGATGATGAGAATACTAATGAAAGGGAAGAGACTTCCCAATGTCCTCCTATTATTTCTTATGATGAATCAGGTAACGAGGAGGAGCCTTCTATTCGACCAATCTCATCAATAAGGAGCTCCAAAAAGAGGATTGAACCCACACATGAGGTGAAGAAGAAGAAAAGAAAAAGAAGGAGCAACAAAGGTAGAAAGGTATCCCTCCCAAATGATGTTGCTCCTACTACTCATTGTGATGATGATAATTGCTATACTATTGGTGCTATCAATATTTTTAATGATGAGAGTGATTATGCTTATGATATGAAAAGGCCCAAGCTTGGGGAAGCTATGTTTGATGAGAATGACATATTTGAGAATATATTTGCTGAAATTAATGTTTGTCCCAAGCTTGGGGATGCTGCGTTTAGTGACGATGATATTTTTAGCATCCCAAGTTTTGATATGCAAAGTTGTTGTGATAATAGCATGCCTCCTACGTATGATGATTATATTGATGAAAGTGGGTTCGGAAGAGTGTCAACTTTAGGAATTAGTGATCCCACTATTTTTGGAGGATGTTGGATTTTATTGTGATGAATATGAAAGTGGATTTGGAAGAGCGTCAACTTTATTTAGTGATTCCACTATCTTGGGAGAGGTTTCAATCGATTATGATGAGAACGAAGTTGCTACTTATGATGATTATTGTGATTAAACCTATGCTATAAAAAGTAGTGATGATTATATTTACAAATCTTGTCATGATTATGATTACCCTTTTTCTGAACATTACCCTTTTAATGTGGAAACAATTTTTAGTGTTCAAGTCTCTTATGATACTCCTACCATTCCGAATGAGAAGAATTTTGCTTATGTAGAGAGTAGAAAATTTTCTATGCTTGTAGATCATGAAAAGAATGCTTTAGGTGCTGGTTATATTGTTGAATTCATTCATGATGCTACTGAAAATTATTATGAGAGAGGAACATATGCTTCTACATATTATAATAATGTCAAGTTTCCTCTCTATGTGCTTAAATTCTTGAAGCTATGCTTGTTGTGCCATCCTATGCTAGTTGATTATTGTTCCCATAAGTTGTTTGCTCACAAAATCCCTATGCATAGGAAGTGGGTTAGACTTAAATGTGCTAGTCATATGCTTCATGATGCTCCCGTTATGTTTCAATTCTTATCTCTTTCGTGAGCATCATTGTCATCATCATGCCTAGCTAGAAAGGCATTAAAGAAAAGCGCTTGTTGGGAGACAACCCAATATTTATCCTTAATGTTTTTGTGTTTCCACATGATTATTCTACTGTAGTAATCATGTTTTATAGCTTTTGTTTCAATAAAGTGCCAAGTAGAACCTTTGGGAAGACTTGGGTGAAGTTTATGTGATCTTGCTGTGAAAAACAGAAACTTTAGCGCTCACGAGATTAGCTGCCATTTTTTACTGGAGAGTAGTTTTAGGTTGATTCTTTTTGCATATGATTAATATACAAATTGCTCAGGTCCAGAAATTTAGTTAATAATTTTTGGAGTCAGGGAAGTATTGATACTCTTGCTTTCTTTACAGACTGTAGTGTTTTGGCAGATTGCTGTTATGGTTGCATTGTTTGCATATGTTTGCTTGTTTAATGATTCTATTTGATGATAGGAGTATTAAATATGCAGAGGCATTTAGTATGCAATGTTGAATAATTATTTAAGTGATTTGTTACAGTAGAAAATGATAAGGTTTTGCATTGGTTTATACTAACCTATCTCACGAGTTCTTGTTGAGTTTATTGTGAATGAAGCTTTTGATAAAAAGAGAAACCATGATATGAGAGGAATTAAGGAGACACAAAAGTTCAAGCTTGGGGATGCCCAAGGCTCCCCAAGATAATATTTTAAGAAGTCTCAAGCATCTAAGCTTGGGGATGCCCCGGTAGGCATCCCACCTTTCTTCTTCAACA